GCAAACTTTTCTAATTCCTTCTTTACGTCCGTCCGGGCCATGAAACCATAAAAACACACAGCCAACAATTCCGCCAGTTCTCCCAATACGTCCGATTACCCAAAACAAAGAAATAAAAAATGAATTTTATCGAGTTTATTGTTTCATCCTCCCGCATGTGGCGCTCGTTATTGTGATGCATGCTGAATTTTAAAAGTCTACAGACCGCAAATAAACTCCAATAACTCTCCAAATAACCACCGCGCCAACTCGAAATGCGGTTAAAAAGTTACCTTCCGCAGATAAGCGCAGAAAGAAGATAACAAGTTGGCGGAGGAGGAAGCAGGCCGGGATGAGCGCCGCCGCCACCACGAAATAAAGTTTAAGTTAAACTTTGTGTGTTTAAAGACGAGAACAAGACAAAATCTCTAATCTACTGTTGCTCCTTGTGCTCCTTGTGCTCCTTGAGGTGGTCCGTTGTTCAACTCGTTCAACTTATCCACCTCGTTGATTTCGGACATGCTTGGCTATAAAAGGAACTTTTTTTTAAGAAATTATTATCGGTGGGGTTTTTATTGAGTTAACGTAATCATTGATGTAGTTATTTATTTTGATTTCTAAGAAAAAAGAAAATTTTGTCCAAAAAATTGTTTTTTTCTTTTGAATTATTAAAATATTTTGAGTTTTTTAAACGGAATAAGTTGCGCAATTAATTTCTCTATGATTTGGTGAGTTTTTCATTGTTGTGAGATTAATATTTTCACAAATATATCAATTTTTCTAAAAACGTAGTTTTTTCGAAAATTGTTGATTTAAATCGCAATTTACCAAAAATCTCCAACATATTCTTTCTTGGAATAAAGTTTATTTTGTAACCAATTAGAATATGCAATGATTTATCGAGAATCCAACCCAAAATTCTTTTTTTCACTATTGTTTTAGAGTTAATAACTAATTTAAACCATTTATTGATCATTTTTACCCAGATATTATATTATCTCATGCAGAATTGGTCAAAAAGACACAAATTTAAGATAAAACGTGTGTAAAAAAATAAAAAAATAACAAATACGTACACTAATTATTTATATAGTAAACAAGGAGTATCAGAAAAACAGTAAAACATTAGAAAAACAAAAAACGAAGAATTTTTGCAAAAAATGTGTTTTTTTGTCAAAAAACCTGTTTTTATATCAAAATTTCAAAATATTTCAAATTATTTTTAAATGCAAAAGTGGTACAATTAATTTCTCAAGGATTCGGTAAGTTTTTCATTGTTGAGCGATTAATATTTTCTTAGATATTTCAGTTTTCCTGAAAACTAAGTTTTTTTCAAAAATTATTGATTTAAATCGTAATTTACCAAAAATCGGCAACAGATCCTTCGTTGAAAAAAAATATACTTTGTAGTCGAGAATCCAAGCCAAAATTAATTTTTCTACTAATGTTTTAAAGTTAATAATTAATTGAAACCGTTTATTGATGATTTTTACTCTGATATTTTATTATTTTATGCAGAATTGGCCAAGAAGACACAAATTGATGATCAAACGTATATAAAAAAGCAAAAAATAACGAACACGTACGTTAATTATTTATATAGTAAACAAAAAGTATCAGAAAATCAGTAAAAAGCTTAGAAAAACCAAAAACAAAGAATTTTTGCAAAAAAAATTGTTTTTATGTTAAAAAACATGTTTTTTATATCAAAACTTAAAAATATTTCAAATTATTTTTAATTCCATAAGTTGGGTAATTAATTTCTAAAGAATTCAATATTTTTTTCAGTTTTCTGCGAATAATACATTCGTAGATATTTCGGTTTTTCTAAAAACAATTTTTTTCAAAAATTATTAAAACAAATCATGAAATTTATCGAGAATACAACTCAAATTTTGCTTCGCCAATATCCCTCGGAAATTAATAATTAATTTAGGCAATTTATCGATGATACTTAACAAAGATTACTCTTAATACACCCTTGAAAACTCTGAAACAAAAACAAACAAATTATGATACTGTTACAAATTTTGTTCCCAAAAATTGTACAGATGAAAATAAAAATTGATTAACCATAGAACAGGTGCATCAAAATGTTTTCTATATATCGACGCCGGGCGACTCCTGAAGGGGTTGATCAAAAATTCCAGACGCGTTCAGCGAATTTCCTTCAATATTGTGCGGCGGCGGGGACGATAATCCGCTTTGAACGCTTCGCCGGGAATTGCTCTCTTGTCCGAGTTACACACGACTAGCGGCGTACAAAAAGACGCAAAAAATACGAAAAAAACAAGAAACACTTTGCGGGCAAAGAAGCAAAACATGCATACTCCACCACTCTATAAGTGGAAACAATATAATCAATACACATCCATCACCATCACACTCATAGAAAACATAACCTCACATTTATTCTAACCTCGGTCAACGTTTTGACACTCTCCACAACCACAGAACAGGTTATGTGTTGTGCAGCGGGTGACGTGATGGGAAATTTAATTAAAAATGAACAATACATGCACACGTTACGCACGCCTAATGGAAAACGTCATAATGGTGGCCGGTACCAAGGCGTACCTACCACATTTTCTCTCTTCTCTACTCTCTGTGTGTGTGGGTGTATGTACGCTTCGAGCAGCGGCCGCTATTCAATTAAAAGTTACAAGCGTCAATTGATTCGAGCGTCGTCGTTACGCGAAATCAAATGCGCACTTTCGAGCGCATAATTGCGATACACATTGTGTGATCGGGAGCACTAAACTCGATTAAAGTCAATCTCATAAATTCACAGCTCGTTTTACCCGCGCGCGGCGGCGCGAGCGTCTATCCCGATACGATACCCGGGTATTTAACGGCTCGTTCGACGGCGGCGAGACTTTAATTTGCGATAATGTCGTTTTCGGGGGCGATTAGAGTGTGCGCGCGTTACAAATAGACAAAATATTTACTTTTCTAGCTGAATATTGTTTAAAACTATCAGGAAATCAAGTTTTTGATTGATTTTTTGATGAATTTTTAGTTTTTAGGAACAAAATTCGTAAAAAATATGTTTTTGTTTATAAAATTGAAATTTGTGATGATTATTTTTGGAAAAATAGGTTAGAATATTTGGAAATATGTATTCTTTTGAATTTATAAGTGATTTTAGCAAAAATCGTGTGTTTTGTGAGTGAAAATTGCATTTTTGTTGGAAATTTTTGTAACTTGCGCTTCTACGCATGGCACTGCATGTATTTTCAATGTAGAGTTAGAAAAAGTAGTGGGGGATGTGACGTCAGAGTTGAGTTGTTGCCTCTGATTGGTGTTCTACTTATTTTCGCAATTTTTACACACTTTAAAGCTTTTTCTTCACATTAAAATCAAGTTTTATTAAATAAAAACATAATTTTTGTGATTTTCAGAAATTTTCAGTGCATTTTCATAATTTTTTCAATGATTTTGAATCAAAAACTAATAAAAAATCATCCAATTAATGAATTTTCCCAATTCCCCTGTATATAATCATCGAACCTAGTAGATTTTTTGCGTTGTGCGACTAAGTGCCACCGAATTAAATTAATATTCGCACAAGAGTCATAAAACGCAGTTATCGACTGAATGCCCGCCCTCGCCGCCCCTTTGGCCGCTTCACTATTTGCTGTAATTGAAATTTAAAATCGACGCCGCCGCCGCCCGCGTCGCCAAAAACTTCCATAATGACGCTCGCCGATGGGCAATCGAGTGTGAACACTATCTCTCGCTGCGCGACGGCGGCGGGCGGCGGCGGCGGCGAACGTCGAGAGGCGGCATTCACTTTGTTAAATCGAGCGTAACGGTTTGCCATTGTCTTAGATTACTCGCCGGTCGAGCTGGTTTTGCATTGCGCGCCGCCTCCGGTGGCGTCGAGTTAAATACATCTGCATTAAATCAGCGCTCGCGTGGCGGCTAATATGAGCGGGTCGACAGGCGGCAAAAATTTACGATATTTTTTGATTGCCAATTTAAGCGCGGGACTACTCCAGACGGGGGCGGCGGCAGCGGAAAGAGAGCTACTCGGAAGTGAAATATATTATTTATGGCTTTCCAGCGGGGGTGGCAACATGCAAAAACCAACGCCAACCTGCGCACGTACCACCGACAACAACAAGTGCGACCGGCAGAAAACTCAATATCACGATTGTAAATTTTACTTGTAACCATAACCTCAATTTTAACCTACCCAACACAAAACATAACCGTAAAAAATTAAAAAAAACATTATAATACGTATTTTTAAATATTTTATGAGATGATTAATTAAATCAATCTCTTGATTTAGTGCAGAATGCGTAGTAAATTAATCCGTTGACGGGGGCGGCTGTTGCTGGCACAATTTCGCCGCTAATTGCCAGATGCATGCATTTACATACGAGGGCATTAATCAATTTAAGTCGTCTTGCAAGAAAGGCACTTGGCCCGTTTTGGTTTATCACTTATAGCGCCCAAAACGCCCGCATGTACTACGCATGCCGCCCCCTATGCCGCCACCACCGCAGTATGATTAGTATGATTTATAGTGAGGGACGCCGCTCTCGACGGCCTGGACAATTTTCGACCCGACCCTAAGAGCCAACATCTTGTTCTCTGAGGCTGTGGAGGCGGCGGCAGCGGCGGCGGATATATGTCTTCATTGTTTGTCGTGTACGCATTTATCTTGAGCAAACGAAATACATATGGAAGCAACAACGTGTAATATGTTTTCATATACTGTCGAAATCAAAAAATCAAAAAATCAACAAAATTGTTTATTTTTTGTTTATAATGATTAATAAATAAATAAAAGAGTTGCATTTTGTGATGTGGATAATCTTGTATAAATAATACGTTTTGGCTTTGTTTGATTATGGTCGGCGGAGTGTTTGTGTGTTGTCTCTATGAATATTTGGCGAGCGGTGGCGGCGGCGGCGGTGGAGGCGGCGCGCGCAACTCAAACACGCTGACTCGACTGCTGCGTCGACTGTGAACCATCCACTCGCAAATTTAGTTCAAATTCGAACGTCGCACATGTCGCTCATCACGATTTACATATCGCGAGATAAAATCACGTGAATTATGCGCGATTAAATTGGATTTAATTAGTTAAGTGTAATACGTGCGAAAATATGTTCAATTATCAAGTGATACATGTATGGGATTAAAATGGCATCGAGGCCATGTGTTTTTATCCTGTTACTCTACCAGTTGCTGGTCGTAAACATATTCAGTAAGTATGCAGATATTTTAGGTTAATTTACGTGTGTATTGGGTTGCCTATGTTGTTAATTTTGGCGTTTGACAATTTCGTTACTCTGCTGCTACTACCACTCTGGGTTTTATCGTTATCTCTTCGGTGTGTTCGGCAGCGTGCGGTTATTTATCGTCGGCGATAACGACGCCGTCGAACGGGCTGCGATGGGTGCGCGTGAACCTGCCGCCGTATCGCAAGCCGGGTGAGACGGCGCAATTGCACTGCGATTACGATCTCGGCAACGACACCCTCTACGCCGTCAAGTGGTACAAAGACGACGAGGAGTTCTATCGGTACGTCGCCAAGGAGCGCCCGCCGGCGAGCAGTCACAATGTAGATGGCGTTTCAGTGGACGTAAGTCACCTCCCGCCAAAACATAACCTCAAATCATAACTAATGTAATATTACAGGTTAGAGAGTCAAATAGTAAACTGGTTTCACTACGGAGTGTTACACTGCGTAGTGGGGGTTTATACAGATGTGAAGTATCAGCCGAGGCACCATCGTTTGCGTCTGCGCAGAGTGAAGCACGCATGGAAGTGATTTGTAAGTTTTACTCTCGATGCCGAGACAAAGTCATCTGTAGAGTGTTTGACATTTAAATCGAATTATTAGTTCATTTCCGCTCGCTTGTTTGCATTTTGTATTTGCTCCCATGCGCTATTCCTGACTCTCGAAGTGGGACGGAGGCAAAGTTTCGAGTAGAAAACTTGACAAAAACATCAAAAGTTGAGACAATGTTAGTCCCCCGAGTGCCGGCACGACAGCTCGGCGAGAGTAGGAAGACGTGAGGCGAAAATATGTTAAAAGTCAACTGAAGGAGTAGAAGAGCGTGGAGGAAAAATGCGAAACGCCGGAAATCGCATTTTGTATTATAATATTAAATGAACAACTTGTTCAGAGTTAAATTAAAGTTAAAGCAAGCGGCATTTCAATAGTGGATTGCATGCAGTATTTACTTTAGAGCGGAAAGAAACGGAAAATGGAATATTATTATATTCAATTTTTGGTTGGCGACATGTTTGGCGTGATTAATGATATTCAGGGCGTTTTGTTCGAAAGTTAATTAGGAGGCAACTTGCTAGAAGAAATTTTTGATTAATTATATGTCTTTAAAATCATATAGAGTAATATTTATTAAACAAAATCGTTGGTTTTGCGATGAAAAACGAAAGAATTTTTTGATTTCTGGAATATGTCGTCATTAAAATTAGGAAAATATCAATTTACGCATCGGAAAATGTAAAAGAGAAGAAATTTTAAGCAAAAACAGACATTTTTTCAATGAAGTTATGTTGTTTGACATTGCGCGTAGATAGGCAACTTTATTTACTTCATCATTTGACAACTGACTTTGAAAATGACATTTAGGAACCAAATCTTTTGTTTTTACGTGAATTATATGCATTTTCATATGATTTAAAAGCAATTTATGCAGCCACATTAACAAATGACAAAAATAAATTTAAATTTTTTGAAATTTCAGCAAAAATAACGAAAATTCTTTTAAAAATTAACGTTGTTATGTTTAATTAGCTTTTGTCCGCGACTTCGTCCCGGTAGGGTTTAATAAAAATGTAATTCGTTTTTACTCTCTTGTTCTAGACATAGTATGTGTCAATTCTATCAATAAGATTCGCAATTTTATTTTAAAGAAATTAATTATATAAAGAATTGCTAATAATGCACTTCAGCGCGCCATCTCGGATTCAACTATTTAACTATAACTATGATTGAATCTCAATGCCAACTTTTATCCTATAGAAAAAGGCTGTCTTTAGGGTTTTCCCGGCAATTATTCAAATTTTTCTCGCCGTGAAAACCATCCTTAGACTTTAACGAACATTTTAAAAAATAATTGGCACAATTGGTCAAGGCGTTGTTGAGTTATGCGCTTACCAACAGATTTTGCGATTAATTTTTATATTATAGATAGAAGACAGATATTACATCACTTTTAAAAATGACATAATCCAGTAAAAATGCATTTTTGACATTTGACATTAAATTAACCTTAATTAATTAAAAATTCATAACCTAGCATTACCAACCGACGATCCAACAATAACCGGAGTAGAATCTCAATACCAAATTGGTGATGAAATCAACCTCAACTGCACATCAAGTAAAAGCTACCCTGCATCAGTCCTCCATTGGTACATAAACGAACATCAGGTAAATTATAACCCCTAACCTCAAATTTCCACTACCAACAAAAAAACACTTAATGTTTCTTAATATCACAATTAGGTTACCAGTAACAAAGCGTTAATAAGATACACAAAACCTGAGCGCCCCGAGCAAGGACTCCGCACCACCGTGCTAGGCTTACGTTTCACCCTCAACCAGCGCCATTTTCTCGGCGGCTCAATGAGCGTCAAATGCGTGGCGTCGCTTTCGCCCTCGCTCTGGCTGAATGACCGCTCCTCAGTCGTGCAGAATCTTCCCATCAAGGATCATCAACAGGAACTGCTCGGCGAATGGAGTACCTTAATGCTCGGTAAGAATTATTTTAGTACAAGTCGGCGCTATTACCATCGAATAATTGTTTCAGTGAAAAGTGCATCAAACCCATTAACACACACATTTTTATGCGTTCTTTTCACTGGCGTCATCACTTTAACAACGAAACTTGTGTTTTAAACGACTTTTACTAGATGCAGATAAGTTTTGAGTAGTTTATACTGACAGTTGTAAAATTATCAGAGTTTTATATATGAAAAAGGTGTAAATTTGGTTGCATACGATGATTTTACAACTGACAGTTGTTTACGACGTGTTTAATAGGTTGCATATTTAATATTCTTTTATATATCTATCAACTTGTAAAACACAACCCGATGGAGTGGTGGCGATAAGAAGAAAATGTGCTTTTCCTAGCCGAGCGTCGTTGCAATGTTTAGTCGATGTATAAATCAATACTGTAAATAATGAAAATGAAAAATAAGCGCAGAGTATAAGCTATATTTAAGTAATAATAATGATGATAATGTACTGCATCGTAACGAACAGTGGAAATAAAACGTATCATTAGACGATGAATAGATTTGCCTCCCATTAACTCGACACATTAAACTCGTGCACAAAAAGCCGGAAATAAAACCAATAAGGCCAAAACAGAGAATGTGATTTTTTTAAAAAGCGAACATTAAATAAAATTTCATGGAAGTAGTAGACGCGCGAGGGAAAGTAGAGTAACACTATGGAAGTTTTTACTTTATAATAATGTTTGTCGCGATATAATGTGACATTATGTGACGAATGAGAGACGTGAAACATGGAAAAATGTTGGAGGAAACAACGCCGTGTCGGGGAAAGTAAACAGGTAAGTGAAATTATGATAGATTATTATCAATAATAAAATTACATGTGGGAAAATAATAGTTGGAAGGTGGGAAGATAAAGAGTGATAGATGGTTTAAAGATTTGCAGGTTTTTTTTGCATAAAATGTTAGTGGAAAATCAAAAAATCGAAAAAATAAATATTTTGAGAAAAACTTTGGAAAAAAATTTAAAACTTTGGCAAAATTGGTTAAAAATGTAAAATCAATCATATATTCTTGAAAATCATGTTTATCTTTATATTTTAAATGATTTTATAGCCTTTTAGGTTGTGAAAACGTAGTTTTTGAGGTTATATCATGTGTTTTTCTCAATTTTCGGGAAAAAATTTAAAAAAAGCTGAAAAGCGTGGCAAAACGCGCCAAATTATAAAATCCAGTAATGAAAGTCAGTTTCTGTGTTTATCTTCATGATTTAATTGATTTTCTTACTAATTTTTGTATTTTTTGACAAAAATTAGAAGAAAAAAAAAACGAAAAACTGTTGCAAACCTTGCTAAAAATATAAAATTAAAAAAGAAAAATCAGTTTTCAAGTTAATCTTTATGATTTAAATCATTATCTAACCTGTTTAATTGATATTTAAAGGGAAATACTATTTTTGAGGTTATTTTCTGTAGTTTTCTGTGTATTTCGGTGTGTTTTGGTACAAAAAATCAAAAAAACACTAAAAATTGGGACAAAACGTGTTAAAAATATAAAATCCAAAATTGCAAATCAGTTTTTATCCCGTATTTTCATGATTTATACGATTTTCTAACTTTTTACATCGAAATATGCAATAAAAATTGATTTTTTGAAGTTATATCCAGAATTTCTGTAAAATTTCCCTTTGTTTTATTGTTTATCACAACCAAAAAATCGAAAAAATAATTTATTTTCACAAAAATCACAAAAACCTCTTCATTTTTAGCAATTCCTTCATCCTCATAACCTATTTATTAACCATGTCACATACCATAACCCAATTCCTCCACAAAATGTAAATAAAATTAAATATTGATTGTGTTTCCTAACTATGTATATCAAAACGAGGATTACGATGCCACTTTAAATGCACTCGAAACTTTACAGCATTTACGTTTTCAATTTTATCACATTTACCTGATTTGCTCACATTGTTTGCGCAATGTCGGCTGGAAATTAATCAGAAAAGTTGAGCGCGTACGCGCCACGGCCGCTCGAAATTGTTTCCAATTGTGCAATTGTAGCTGTATTTACGTATGAAGTCACCCGAGACACACACAGCACACATTCATCCGCCAACAACAACACAACAACAAATAATAACAAAAAAAAAGAATATTCCTGAATTCACCCAGGTATAGAGTAGTAGAGTAGAAACTCCAATTCGCCAGCGGGGACAAGTAACTCAAACTCAAAATTACTCCGCGCTAAATTTGTAATTTTATTTGTTGCAGCAACACAATAATTTCCGCTGCTTACTGATATTAATTTATTTATGTTATAGGAGGGCGGAAGTATTGTAGATATCATCACTGAATGCTTATTCAATTAGAGGGCAGGGATGGCAAAACACATTAATTATGACGGGCGATGGCGTGCGTTTAATAAGAAAGCGCAACGCCACACTGGAAGCGGCAGGGGGGTGGCGCCCCGAAATTATTACCTTCGAAGATTGAGATTTGGGGCGCGCGCGCGCGGCGTCTTAATTAATACCTTATAAAAACGTTCCGGGAAAGGCGCAGCGCGCGTAAATCAGTTTATTAAGAAAGTGCCGGGGATTTTTTTCATTTTCATTTCGCCAATATAACGAATATTTAAGATTATCAGCTGATATTAAAAGAATATTACGTTTTATGCGCGGGCGATAAATTTTTTTCAACGATTTCCGTTGGGTTTTTGCTTGTAATTTTCAAAATATTAAAAAATTTTAAAAACTGATTTTTACAAAAGATGCGTAATTAAATATTCTTTAAATTGGTATATTTTTTAAATTTGTGCAATTAATATTTATGGAGATATTTCAATTTTTCTGAAAAATTGATTTTTTCATGTTTTTTTTCCAAAATTAATAAATCTAATAAATCTATATTCTAAATTAGAAAGGTTAAAATTATTCACTTTCCAATAAAATATTTATGTACTTCAGTTGTAAAATGAGGAAAAAATAATTTTTTTCAAGAATTTCTAAATTTTTCATTCAATTTTGAAAAAAACTTGATTTTCTAAATAAATAAACGCAAAACAAAATTTTCTAAAGATATTTTAAGACGTGTTAAAGATTAACGTGTTTATATTTAACCATAACAATTTATTTGCATCAAAATATAGTTTAAACTTTTATGTGATCAAGAGAGATTTACAAGATCTACTCTGGAAATTGCGATTGTGATGGTGATTGCAATGGACAAAGTTAAAACTTTAAAGCCGCGCGGCGCCGAAATGACAGGTAATATCAAAAATGTATTTTTTAACTTTTGGGCGCCGACCAAACTGAAATTGAAAACTTTTCAAATTACAGAAAGCGCGCCGTGTTAAACCGTGTGTGATGTGAAAAGTTTCCCACCGCGCCGAAGTTTACTTCAAGTGAGTGTGTGCCGAAAAGACATCGCACATCACATATCATTCGATTTTTTGTTTGTTTATGTAATTTTACTCTCATTTAATATGTGTACAACAGATGTGTAGATTGATTAATCATCAAAAATATAGGCAATGGAATAAAAACCAGAGAAAATGTGATTTTTTGCTAAGACTTAGTTTTTGGTTAATAAATTTTAAACGACTTGATAAATATTGATAAAATTTTGTACACATCTTAAGAAGGTAATAACTCACTGTCTCAAAAAATTCGAAGTAAAATATTAATAAATATCAATTTTATGAGAAGAAAACCATACAAAAACATGTTTAATTTTTTTTAAATGTTTTGTGGACATTTTAGCTAATTATCTATGAAACTACTTATTGTTTATTGATCAAACTTTGTAGGCAATTTAAGAACGTAGATTATTATAACGTAACTAAAATTAATAATAAAATATTGATTATATTAAAAGTTCAGCCAAAAAACTAAGAAAATTGAAAAATCAAATTCTTTGAAAAAAAACTTTTTTTCTTAATATCATTAAAACAACTTAATAAATATCGATAAAACTTTGTACACACCTTAAAAATGTAATTACTCACTGCTTTAAAAAATTTCAAAGTAAAATATAAATAATCAATAATTTTACAGCAAGAAAACCAAAAAAAAAAAAAACATGTTTAACTTAAAAAATGGTTTGTTGACATTTTAGCCAATTATCTATAAAACTATTGATTATATATTGATTAAACACTGTCAATTTGTTTGCATTTTACATTTTTGAAACGTGTACAAACTTTTATCAATATTTATTGAATCGTTTTAGAGTTATTCACAAAAAACTGAATTTTACTAAAAAAATAACATTTTTTCCTTTTTTCAACGATTTTCTGCTACAAAATATTATATTTCATTGCCAATTATTAAATAATACGTTTATAATTAAACAAATAATGATAATAGCCACATTTGAAGCCCGGCCAAACGCACTTTACGCGCCCGATTTCAAAAAGTCACTCGTTGTCCCCGGGTTCCGGCTAATCACCGTGCGAGAGTGGCGCGCTCGCGTTTTCTCATCACGTAATGTGTGCCTAAAAAACATTGAGAGAGTGAGACTATGAGGGTGGATTACGCTTTAGGGTGCAAATTGCTCCCCGCGCGAACGCACACGTCGACGAGACCCACGCACCAAGCTCTTTTTTCATACAAAGCGCGTCACGTCCGCTCTTCAAAATAAAAAAAATACACATTTCTCGCACTCTGCCGCCACCACCACCGCCACACAGCCGCCGTCGCCGTCATCATCGTTGTAGCGCACAACGCGCATTTAACTACGCATTATAATTTAATTAGTTCAAGACTCGTGGCATTAATGCGAGCAAATCTTAGCACAAAAAGCAGAAAAACAAAGAATTCACAGTGAAAAAATTGCAATTTTTAAAAGTGGTTGAAAGTGTGTGTATCGTGTAAATATTTTGCTTTTAGCAATTGAAAGCAAATAAACTAGCGCCGGAGCGCCAACGCTTATTACATAACCAATTTGGTTCCTGTTGAATTTAATATTGTTGTTGACTTTCACTTTGGCAACCAGCCGCCCCCCGAACAGGCGTCCGCCTTGCGTATGCCGCAGCAAAAGCTAAATCAATATAATTTATCGCATGTTGTGTGTGTTGCCAAATGCATACTTTTTACCATTTACCAGTTTTCAATCAATCAATATTTTCACCAATAAAATATAAAAAAATATAAAAAATGTAGAAAACGAATATTTTTGTCATTTGTATCTATCTATGTAAATCCATAGATAATGCGGATGTAATCTAAACCATTCGCATGATCAAAAAAGGATGTGCTTTTGTGCGCAGTTTTTGGACATGGCGAAGGCGCCGGGCAGAAGTGTATCCAGTTGCAGAAATCCAGCGATTGAAATGATATTAACGAACTTCGACAAAGTGTATAACTGTCGGGGAGATGTGCGCACAAAGCCCGGATAAAACTCAACTCCAACTTCGAGGAGGAAAAACTAGATATAGGAGATTTGTTTTATCCGCATGATAAAAATTTAAATCCAATATAAAAAATGCTTATTTTGGGAAAAAATAAAAATATAGAATATTTAATTTTGATGCTAATAATTTGTTATGCTGGAA